TGGGACAATTGTGAGTCTTGGCAAAGGGGAATTGCTGGGGAACATTAATAAACTCACTAAACCACAGTTACATGTGTGTGTGAGTGAGTGGGGCAGCATACCAGGTAATTGGCATACAAGTTGGATTTCTCCTAAGGTTTGCACCTGCCACCAGATCCTTAAGCAGGAGCTGTGAGTCCTAGAAATTCCCAAAGGGGTAAGGACTACAGGTGGTTCTTTATTTACTACCACAATTGGGACTGGAATCTTTATTGTTGAGTTTAAGCAAGACATCATGACACCATTTTATTCAACAACAGTAATCTTGGAGTCCCAATTGCAGTCATTAAGCAATATTGTGAGTCATTAAATGGAAAGAGTCCCAGGTAAGGAAAGCCTGGCACAGGCTATGCACAAGTGTCTCACTGTTCTAGAGTTAAAAATCCCTATTAAATCCAAGCAGAATTTTCATTCCCTGAGTAGGGAGACATTCGCATGCCACCAGCACTAGACTTGTGCATATCTCCCAGGGCCTCTCCTTGTGAGGTACTCTGCATTCCTTATCTTACTACCAGTTTCTCTACTGTGGGGCTGAAAATCCTCCATGGCTAAAAATCCTACTTGGTTTTTGGGATGGACCTTTTTCAGCTAGTCTCAGAAATGAGAGGGAGTCCTCTTGGCAGGTGGTGGAAGCTTGCAACCTTCCCTACTGGCATTGAAGTTGGGGGAGCCAGCAGGAAAGATTGCAAATGGTGATGACATAATCATGGGGCACTTGGCAATCAGTTGTAAGTGTGAATGTATTACCAAGGACCCAGATCACAATCATGTGACTGTAGGGTGCTACAATAACTACAATTTTTGGCATGGATTGTAAGTTCCTTCATTCAGCACCATCATAATTCTGAAAGATTGTTAAGTGAGGGCTTGTAAAAATGAAACATTTGCAGCTTCAGATTGTCCCCAAACTCTTAGCAAATTAGTTTTATCAGGATTGAGCCTAAACTTTTTTCTCCCCATCCAGTCCCCCACAGCCTTCAGACCATAGTGCCTGATCAATCTGGGGTCATGTAAAATAATTTTATCCACATATTGATGATATCTGACTGTTAATCATCAGAGGACCTCACCCAGTGCCTTCATGTAGATGTTAAACCAAAGGGAAAAGAGTATACAGTAGAGTTCTGAGGAACCCAATCCACCAAGGGCTTCAGATTCAATTTCACCTGTCATGTCCACATCAACTGAACCCAACTACACGGGGGAGAACCTTGCAACTTGTACCTCCCAGCACCAATCCCTTCAGGCAGGCCAGTGGGATGCTATGGTTGATGATAGCAAAATGTAGAGAGAGATCAAGAAGAAACAGTGTGATTCCAGTAACTACCTTTGAAATATCAGAAGCTATTAAAAAATGAAAATAGATAAAACTCCAGGTCCAGATGACCTCACAAGCCAGTATAATAAATATTTTGAGGAGCAACTCCTACAGCCACTAAAGGGTATAATGAATTGTATACTACAGGATGTAAAGATGCCTCAAACTTGGAAAGAAGTTAATATTGTGTTAATACCAAAGGAGAGTCAAGATGTTCTGAGGATAAAAAATTATACACCAATTTCAATATTAAAACAAGAATTGTAAACGTTTTACTGCAATACTAGCAGAAGGATTGATGAAATTTCTAGTCTTACAGTCACAAAGGCCAATCTGACTTTTTGCCAGAAAGACAATTGAGAGACAATGAATAAGTACTGTTTTGAATGTTATTGAATAGTTACAAATTCGTAATTTTTGGTTGCAGAGAAAGCTTTTGATAACTTAAATTGGGACTTTATGTTTAAAGTTTTGGAAGACATGGATTTTGGAGAGAAATTTATGCAAGGGGTTAAGGCAATATAACCATCATAGCAAGCAAATGTTATCATTAATGGAGATTTAACTACATCATATGATATTCAAAAGAATATGAGACAAGGATGTCCTCTATCTCCACTGTTATTTATGTAAGTGTTGGAAGTTTTGAATAATGGTGTCTGAGAGGATAAGTGCATAATGGGCATAAAAATCAGAAAAGAAGTTTATAAATCAAGAGTTTTCACTGATGACTTACTGTTCTGGCCCAGCCTTAGCAAACAATGAGAAACCATTTACTCATGAGTAAAAAAAACACCCTTTTTTAAACACAGGGCAGAAACTGTCTTTATTCACATTGGATAGACAAAACCAAAAATAATTAGTCACAATAAGAGTCTTTTCCCCTTCTGAAAAAGGCATGAACAGTCTCTGTTCACATGAGAAGTCAAGATAAAAAGTCCTTCAATGATTAAGCCAAGCAGAAATAGTCACTGTTCACCCCAGGTGGGGCAAATTCACTACCTATTATTTCAGGGATGAAATGCTCCCGGTTCGGCCGATCCGGTAGTGATGGCAAAAATCCCTGCCCCTCCCCCCCCATGCACAGCTGAGCCGCACAATCATCAGAGACTTTTTTTTTTTACTTTTAAAAGCATTTTTTTCTACAACCTCTTCCGACGAAAAAATACTTTTAAAAGTAAAAAAAAAGCCTCTGATGATCGCGCGGCTCAGCTGGGCTAATCAGAGGCTTTTCAAAGCATTTTTTCCTGCAACCTCTTGGCCGAAGAGGTGGTTAAAAAATGCTTTGAAAAGTCTCTGACGATCCCAGCTAAGTTGCCTGATCGGCAGAGAGGTATTTTTTAAAAAATACTTCTCTGCCGATCAGGCAACTCAGCTGGGATCGTCAGAGAGGCTTTTTAAAAAAAATACCTCTCTGCTGATCAGGCAACTCAGCTGGGATCGTCAGAGAGGTATTTTTTAAAAAGCCTCTCTGATGATCCCAGCTGAGTTGCCTGATTGGCAGAGGCTTTTCAAAGCATTAGAAAAAATGCTTTGAAAAGTTAAAAAAAAAAGTTGGCCTCGCCCACCTAGTCACATTTCCCACAGAACTGGTAGTAACAAATTTTACATTTCACCTCTGTATTATTTCCCAGCAGGGAGACTCAGTTGGCAACTCAAATACAGAGCAATTAGTTCCGACAAACCTGGTTTTGGCAAGGAATCTGACTTGATTGATGTACACTGGAAAACTAATGGTTGTCTGCGACAACAGGCCACTCCCAAATCCCTACTATTTATTTCTCAGCTAGAGAGGGACTGGCTAGCATCTACAACTTCTTTTTCCTGAGAGCCGACTTATTGCCTTCCGTTGCTCTCCTCTCTATGCATACGTCTATCTGGGATGGACCTCATCTGTTCCTCCCCTTCACTCAGCTCAACTCAGGCCCCGAAGACAGCTGCCTCTCCATCTGGGGGCAGACAGAAGGACCAGGCTCTGCATCTGCCTCTCATTCTGCTTTCTCATCAGAGCTTCCAAAGGCTCTGAAGCTGGCCCAGGCTCCCCCTCTCCCTCCTTCTCATCTGACTCTGACTCTACTGCTAGTTCTGCTGGCAGCCAATGGGCCACAACCCTTACCGTATTTTTCGGACTATAAAATGCACCGGAGTATAAGACGCACCTTAGTTTTTGAGGAGGAAAAGGAGAAAAAAGCTGATCGGCGGGTGGATCGGCCTCCCGGAATACCCCCAATCAGCTGTTCCTAGAGGTGAATTTTAGCAACAGGTTCGTTGTTTGTGAGCTCTGCGTCTTGCTTTTTCAGCCTCTGAAACCTCCGTTTGAGAGGCTTTTTTTTTTCAGCCTCTGAAACCTCCATTTGAGAGACTTTTTTTTCAGCCTCTGAAACCTCCGTTTGAGAGGCTGGGCGGGGCTACATTTGATGTATAAGACACACCCAAATTTTCACCCTCTTTTGGGGGGGGGAAAGGTGCTTCTTATACTCCATAAAATACGGTAGTAATATTTTTGCAAAATCCCAAAACATACATAGAATACTTGATAAAAAAGCTTAATTGTTTTGGAGCCATTTAATGGGCTTCAAAATAAATAAACAGAAAACAAAAATATTTGTTAAGAATATGGCTTCTCAAGATTATGAAAAGTTGAGGGAGTCAAGGGAATCAGGTTTTAAGATGGAGAAAAAGGTTAAATACCTTGGAGTTACCATGTTTCCCTGAAAATAAGACCTGGTCTTATTTTCTTTTGGGCTTGAAAATAAGCACTTGGACTTTTTTTTTGGAGAGGTATTATTTTTTTTAAGTGGAGGAGGCGGTGAGCTCAGGGGGCCAATGGGAGTGGGAGCGCAGCTACCACTGGCCTCTTCCTCTCCGTCCCACTGTCTGCTTGCCTGCGGCTGCAACAAACCAAGCTCTTGGCATGCCCCAGCCTCCACCCTGCCTGCTGGCCCAGCTGCTGCCGGGACACTTCTCAGCTGCGGTGGGCACTGTGTTGGCCACCAAGTGGCTGCCCATGCTGCTGCTGCCTCGCAGGGGATCATGAAATGAGGACCCAAATTGTTGGGAGCAATATGCTGACATTTATAAACTGAGAGTGTTGTAAAGCAATGGAGCAGTGTATAAGTCTAAATTTTTTTGTTGTTATCAGAAGATTTTATTACCATCTTTGGACTAACAGAAATTGATATGTGGTTCTCTTATTTCATTTAAATTTTCTAGGCCATAGAGTCCAATTCTTATTTTCTTCCTTAATTTTTCTAATTTTGGTATCACAGTATCTATAAGCAGTGCATTCTGCTTGCAAGTTCTATTAAACATGGCTATAAAACGTATTAACCTCCTCATTTTCTGCATCAGTTTTGGGAGCATAAACATGAATAACTGTCACATTAGAGAAGTGATGGCAAACCTCTGATATGTGTATCACAACATTTTGGATGACACATCAGCAATCAGCAACTTCTGACAACTATTCTTGAAAACATGCTCCCTTCTCGCACAAATTTTGGAGGCTGGGGAGATTGAATGAGAATGGGATGTGCTCTTCCATTACCTTTTGACTCTCCAGAAATCATGTGAGAACTAGGTGCACAGCCTCTGGAACCTCCAAAAATCGCATGAGAATGGGACATGGTGTGGTTTTTGGAGGCTACAGAGGCTTCAGAAGAGCATTTTCTGAAACCACCTCAATAACGTAGCTCTGTGTGTCTGGAACAGCTTTGGGCAGGTCACAGGGGCCTGTCTACAGAAAGAGAACATTGTTGGAAGATACATGGCACATGGCAGATGCTGGGGAGTGCTGGGTTGTAGGGAAATAATACTGTTCCCCAAGTCTAGGACATCTTTGGGACAGCGTTAAGCAGCCTTTTTAAGTGGCAGTGGGGGCGTTAGGGTTAAAGTTGAGGCCACGTTTTAATGGGGAAAAATGAATTCATCATATGGATGTATCTTATTTATTTACGTAATAGAAAGTGTAGTCAATATTATATTACTCAACATAATCAACAATTAACTGCTGAAGTCCTTGTTTTCCTGTTTTAAATATTCATTTCAGATGCTCTCTCTCTCTCCCTTCCTTCCTCCCTCCCTCCCTCCCACGCTTCTCGTCCCTCCTTGGCAAAAGAGATAAAAATTTAGCCACTATAGTTGAGAGTCTTGGAATCTACTGCCAAGTATTAGTTAGCCATGAAGTTTTGACTGTTCATACCTGCCTACAGTTTGATGAGTTTTTGATCATCATGCTTTGAATACCCGGTTTCCCATAAAATAAGACATCCCCTGATAATAAGTCCAATGGGCTTTTGAGCGCATGCACTAAAATAAGCACCCCCAAAAAATAAGCCCTCCCCGAAAATATTTACCAGCATGCACAGCCGGTCCCCACCATTTCCTCTGGTTAGAGTAAGAGGAACCCCATCTAGCTCCATGCACCCCAAAGTAATAAGTAATAAGTAATAAGACATCCCCGAAAATAAGGCCAAGCACTTATTTTGGGGTTCAAAAAAATATAAGACAGGGCCTTATTTTCGGGAAACACATTATATATTTCAAGTCAGCTATAGACTCATTGAATTGGCAAGGTATCAAGTTCACATTTAACAAACTTCTTAATCAGAAAGTTACAGTATACTTTGGCAAATGCCTTGATGGAATCAGTATGTAAGATGTTCATATCATTCCTACAATTTCAGTAAGTTGATGCAATACCCAGCTGACCTTGGCTGATCTCAAGAAAGTTCAACAGTGAATACATAGATGGGGGATTGGGCTTATAAAATAGATTGCGAAGATAAAAATACCTCACAGAATTAAAGGACTGGCAAAGCACATCTATACTGAGAAAATTGTCTGATTAAACAAATAAAGACATGTTTTTGAAAAATCCAAGCAGATCGTTAGCATTTACTGCTTAATTGCTCTATGAGCTTCTCAGAACACAACAGGAGTTCCTTGAGCTCTATCACTTTCAGTTATGTAGGTTTGCAGATTCAGAATTCCATGCCAGCTGCCCTTTGCTGAGAATTCAGGAAGCTCAGCACCACACATCTACAACTTGACAAGGTTGGGAAACACTGATGAGCCTCCCCACTACCAACGTCAGCCTTTCAAAACTATAGATTCCCTTAAGTTTATTTTGTTGAAGGTTGCAAGGATTTCCCTCTTCCAATCCCCTCATATTTCAACTCTCTCAGATTATTCATTCAGATACATAAGATAAAGACCTGGGTTTTCATATGATATAATCCATTCCCACTCCCAAAACACATGCTAAATTGACACCATTCTCAAAGATTTGAATTATAGAATGTAAGGATTGGGAGGGACTTTGGGTTAGGAAGATCATTTGATTTCTTCCAACCTCACAAAGTGTGTCACTGCAGGTGTTGCAATAGAAACAGGATAAAAGAATCCACCTAATGGTTGTTAAACTGACAAGGCCATTCCAGTTTGGATTAGAGAGCTCTAGTACAAAGTAATATTTGATCATTTTATGAATATGACTATCCAGTTATCAGTTATAATTTCTGTATTACAAATATATTACTTCTATCCAATTGTTAACAATATTATACTTTCTATTTCTAAAGTTACCAACAATATATGAAAAAATGTATGAAGATTATAAGCATAGTAATGGGATGCTAAGTGGATGACAAGAACTTCAAGAGCTGGACTCACCTTTTTAGCAGAATCTGGGGGCACATCCACCCCATTGATAAATTCCCCATTATCTGCAAAGACAGGAATATTGGGACTGAAAATCATGAGATCGCTCTTGACACCAGCCTCTGCACTCAGCCCTGCCAGGATGTGGCTGTGGCGATTGGAATAGGACCAGCTGCCCACTTCGCTGGCACACACCAGGGTGGCCATGCCAGGGCCATACACCATGGGTTCCTTTTCCTTGCAGTGGCATCGCAGGGCCATGTAGATGAGAGTGGCCAACAAGAAGAGGCTGGAAACAGAGCAGATGGCAATGATCAGATAGACGTTGATTGAGTCCACCAGGGGCACGAAGCTTTCCCCTGATCTTTGAGGATTAATATACGTTTTGATTGTCTCACTGCTTGTCACAAGTGACACACTCAACGTGGCTGTAGCTGACAGTTGAGGTTTTCCATGGTCCTTCACAAGAACAAGGATACTCTGGATTTTGCTTCCTTCAGATTCATCCAGATAATATTTGGTACTCACCTCACCACTATACTGCCCCACAGACCATGGACTATTGCTTTCTTCAACCAATTCATACTTTAGCCATGCATTGTATCCAGAATCCGCATCCAAGGCATGGACCTTGCCTACAATATGCCCAGGCATCATGGGGACCACTAGAAGAATCAGGTTCTCTTCTGATGACCTTGACAGAGCAGGTGCATTGTCATTCTCATCCATCACAAAGACTTGAACAGTCGCATTGCCACACAAGGAGGGCATTCCAGCATCCTTGGCTCTCACATGGAACTCCAGCAGTTTCAACTCCTCATAGTCCAAGGACTGCAAAGCATAAAGTTTTCCACTCTCTGAATGTACAGAGATGTAGCTTGACAATGGCCAGAGCTTCTCATCTATCCAATAGGTGATCAGGGCATTCTCAGCTATATCTGGGTCCCCAGCAGACATTGTGAAGATGTGAGCACCAGGGGGATTGTTCTCCTTCACAAAGACTGTGTAGGAGGGCTGTGTGAAAGCCGGAGCATTGTCATTTATGTCACTAATAGGCACTAAAATGGTGAGACTAGAAGATAGTGGTGGAACGCCCTGATCTTCAACTGTCACAACCATCCTGTACTCAGCCACCTGCTCTCGATCTAGGATTGCACCAACAATCAGGGAGTAGTAATTCTTGAATGTAGATTCAAGTTTGAAGGGTACACCAGTGGGCCAGAGGAAACAGTTTATCTGTCCATTGATTCCAGAATCCTTGTCAGAAGCACTGATGATGGCTACCACAGTCCCTGGAGGGGAGTTCTCTGGCAATGGCACAGAGAGAGAATTCACAGATAGTTCTGGAATGTTGTCATTCATGTCCAAAACCTCAATGAGAACTTTACAGTGCCCAGTTAATTGAGAACTGCCTTTATCTTGTACTACAATTGGAAGTTCATAGAACCTACTTTCTTCGTAATCCAATTTTCCAATTACTCTGATTTCCCCAGTATCAGAATTTATACTAAACGACTTTGTGACATGTAGAGCAACACTATCATGAAAAGAGTAACAGATTTCCCTATTAATCCCCTCATCTAAGTCTGTAGCATTCAGATTAATAACTAATGAACCACTGATTGTGTTTTCTATCAACTTTATTCTGTAAACAGATTGGTTAAACACAGGAGGGTTGTCATTGACATCCAGCACATTGATGACTAGCTGAACAGTTCCTGTGAGTTTTGGTTCACCCCCATCAGTGGCTGTCAGTACTAAATGATGCACAGGGCTCTCCTCTCTGTCAAGTGGAACCTTCAATAGAAGTACTACAGATTTACTCTCATCTTCATCATTTCCTAAATCAAGAGCAAAATGATTGCTTGGGCTGAGCTTGTATGTTAACTGAGCATTAGTACCAATATCTGCATCAGATGCTCTCTCTAAGAGGAACTGGGTACCAGATGCTGTTATCAGTTCAGCCATGTTCAGGATCTGTTCCCTGATAGAGAAGACAGGAGCATTATCATTCATGTCTTTGATTTCAACCTCCACATGGAAGAACCTCAGAGGTTTCTCCACAATCACCTCCAGATGAAGGACACAGTCTGCATTCTTGGCACACAGCTCCTCCCTGTCTATCCGGGAATTTACAAACAAGATCCCATTCTGCAGGTTTACCTCAAAATAGTCCTTCTCTCCTTTGGACAGCATCCGGAACATCCGAGGCACCAGCTCGCTCACCTCCAACCCCAGATCCTGGGTGATGTGGCCCACAAAGGTGCCGTGCTGGGATTCCTCCAGCACAGAATAATGGAGCTGGCCGCTCCCCATTTTCCAGGCGGTGTGGAGCAGAAGCAGCTGCAGCAGCCCCTTCGGCCAGGTAAGCATTGCAGACACTGGCACAACACCAGCAAGCTCTTCTCTTTTTCTCTAAATATTTTGTCTCAAAGGTGTCAGGAGCAGAGACCATCTACCCCAGCCATACTGGCAATGCATTCATAGGTTGAATCTTGGATTGTTGAGCTTTCTCTGTTATTCGAAATTTCCCTTGTGGATCTAGCTGGCAGGAATATCTGTCCCTTTAAGGGAGGGGCTCTGCATTTTCAGTTTCACTTAGAGAGTTTCCTTAGGAAACAGTGACCTCTTGTGACTGAATTTCAAACTGATGAAACAGACTTCCATTCTGTATTCACAACATATTTCTAATAATTATCCAGTCTTCGTGCACAGATACATATGCCTTTTCCATGCAGTGCTTGAGTACATTCATGACCATATATATATATATAAGTAACCCAAAATATAAGAGGTTAATCCCCTGCAGTCATTAAAAAAGTGTAATTAAATATTATATTAAGTCACCCCATGTATTTATTGTTTAGTACTTTTGTTTATATGGATAGGAATGAGACATTAGGAGAGGGACAATTCCAAGTTTATATGGCAAGGAAAAAACCTTAGAATTAGATACATGTTAGTGCAAGATGCTAAGGAAAGGGGGGTTTGGGTTTACCAAACCCAATTTTGGTACGATTTAACACTGTATTTTGATGCATGCTGTCTGGCCTGGTTGAATGGGTGAACCTCCAAAACAAGAGGCTACTTGATTTAGAGGGCCATGAATTAAAGTTGGATGGCATAGTTATCTATGGTATGACAAAGTTAAAGTTAATTTTGATTTTAATAATCAGTTTGCTAGATGTACCATACCATACTAAGAGTTTGGAATAGATATAAAACAAGGTTTTCTGCAAAGTTGCCTCTTTGGGTTTCTCTCCAGGAAGTTTTTTTTAAAGAAAAGAAACGGTGGGGAAACCAGAATGGTGGACTTATGGTAAAATAATATCTTTCAACTCTGGTGACCCTACCCTAAACTCAAGGGAAGAGCTAGATTTAGAAGGTTACAGCAGGAAAATAGCAGGCTCTGCAAAAGTCCAGCTGGTAACCGCTGCCAGGAGACCTTTCGGGGTCATAGCCATCTTGTAGGGACAGTGAAGGAAGGAGAGGCGCTTCACTGACCACGAGGAATCCGCAAATTCCTCGTTAGGTCCGAAGGAAGCTGGCAGCCCTGAAGCTGGGAAATCAGGAACCAAGATTGTGTAGGAGCTGTGTATGGACAGAACATTGAAATTGGGTGAAATCAGGGGTGAAATGCTCCCGGTTCGGACCAGATCACCCGATCCGGTTGCGATGGCAGCGGGTGGTTCAGAGAACCAGTAGCAAAAATCCCTGTGCCCCCCCCCCCAATACCCAGCTGAGCCACGCAATCATCAGAGGCTTTTTTTAAAAGCATTTTTTCTACAATCTCTTGACCGAAAAAATGCTTTTAAAAGTAAAAAAAAAAAAAAGCCTCTGATGATCGTGTGGCTCAACTGGGATTGTCAGAGGCTTTTTAAAACATTTTTTCTACAACCTCTTTGGCCAAAGAGGTTGTAGAAAAAAAATGCTTTTAAAAGTAAAAAAAAAAAAGTTGGCCACGCCCACCCAATCACATTACCCCCCCACCACCAAGCCATGAAATTTTACATTTCACCACTGGGTGAAATATTTACCAACTTTTATTTTAAGGACTTGCAATAACAAAAAGATTATGCAAAGAAAACTCCTAAGCTTAAAATAGCGGCGAATTGACACACAGAGAAAAAAAATAATTTAAGTTTTTTATTTTTTCCAATATAAACATACATGTTTCATGGACAGTACATTGATTGGGTCAGATCTTTTTTATGTAACGTTAACAATAATACAAATAGTATGTAGAATTCTAATCTTCCAACTTCAAACAATATTAGTCTCATTTCATATTCCTTTTAAATTTTCTCTTTAATTCATTTAAGCATAAATAACATTTCTTCGCACCCTGTGTTTATTATCCCTTAGTAAATAGAGCCTGGTGGCACAGTGGACTAAGTGCTGTTAAAGTAGCACTTAGTTGCCAGCTGCCTGCAATTACTGCAAGTTCAAATCTCACCAGGCTCAAGGTTGACTCAGCCTTCCATCCTTTCGAGGTAGGTAAAATGAGGACCCGGATTGTGGGGGCAATAAGCTGACTTTGTATTAAAAAAAAAGAACACTGCTTGGTGGGGGGGGGCGAAAGCCCTACTAAGCAGGTATTATACAAAAGTATGAAGGCTATTGCTTAATGCATTATAAGCCACCCTGAGTCTCCGGAGAAGGGCGGCATATAAATCGAACTAATAAATAAATAAATAAATAAATAAATAAATAAATAAATAAATAAATAAATAATAAATGTTGTCATTCAATATTTTAAAAATCACTCATTATTCCATCATAACATCAATATTCCAAATATATAGGATTACAAATAATACCAATTATTAACAATATTCAATCCATCATGGGAGTATATCTCCAAGTCCCCACCATTTCTAATCCTTTATATTTTAAATTCACAATATCTGAACACACTGTTAATATTAGTGCTTCAGTTAAATTGTCTAGTCTTAAATTACCATCTATTAACCTAAAACTTACTGGGGTTTTGGGGTTTTCCATTTTATTAATATATTTTTTCATTATCCATCATCTCTTAGTCTTTCTAAAATTCCATCATTTATTGATTTTTTGGTCAGTCTTTTATTTCTATCTCTTAGAATCTTAGAATCTCTTTTTAATTTTTTTGTGTCTATTAAACTTTCCCTTCTGGGTGCCTTTTGCCTTTCTGCTGCTTTTTTTGAACACCCATATACAAAACTTCCTTTTGTTTTGCTTTTTTGTTTCTCTCTCTCTCTCTGTAATCTAATAAATTATGATGTTATTTATTTATCTTCTACTTATTAGTCTCTTCTCCCCTTTGTTCCTAACTTCTTGCTTCTCATTTTTATTCTCCCCTTCCCCTGCTTTTTCTAGTTTCTCATCTACTTCTTGAATATCGTGTTCCTCTTTTCCCCCCAATTGTTGAGTAGCTTCTACATTCATTTCTGTATCTTTAAACAATCCCTTTGTCTCTTTGTCATTTCTTAAGGATTCACGTAAACTTTTTAACATGCACAATATTTATTCATACATTTCTAGCTCCATTTTATAGTGATTTAATACAGCTTATAAAAAGTATATTTCTATTATTCCAATATCTCAATATTTAAAAAACTTCTATTTAATCAAGTTATATCAATCCCATATTTATACCTCCAAAATCCCACATTTTATTTCATAATAGTTTACAGCCGTATAGTTCCCCAATTGTCCAAATTTTGAAGTTTTATTTCCTTCTTCTCTCTTTTCTTCTGATCTTTTCTTCTTTTGCCTCTTAGAATATTCTATTAAGTAACATTAATAGTCCAAGTCCAAATTTGTCCACCTTAGTCCACTAAGTTCTTCCAGTTTTTCCAGTCCATAATCCAATAGTCAATTTTAGTAAGATTTAGTTATTTGCAAATTAGTTCCTTTTATAACTCTTCAAAAGGAAAGAAAAAAAACCACACTGTTGAATGTTCTCGAATTTTACATTTGCCATTGATTTACATATCAAAAACTGAAAGAAAGGTTTAAACTAGATAAAAAGAGTCATGGACAAATGGTCATCCGATCTTTTCTTGCATGACTGCTTCCATTGCTTCTCGTCCTATAACTCAGGTGCTTTGTAGAATAAGTCAACTTCCTCATCTCACTGTCTGCCCCACAAATACGGTAACTGTCCAAATGGAAAGTCCAGTGCACAATCTCAGAAATAATACCATCCAGTAATTCTCATTTTAGAAGGGAATTCAGTGATTGTCCTTCAACATTTGAACATCCCACTTTCTTTTTATATTATTAGACCACTCCTTTTATTCTGCAATGCTTTAAAACCTAAGGCATTAGCCCTGAAGGCTGGAGATTATTCCACCTGGAGGTGATATTTGGGTTCTAGATATTAAAAGGCTTGACTCCAGGGGAGATATTGAGAGAACTTCCTTCCAGCCAGCAGAGTGGCAACTACCTTTGATTGTATGTTAATATGAGAAAGACTTGTTGCCTATTATGGAGGTTTTATTATTGATTCCCATATAGACAGTGACCATCTTCCATTATTTAATCTTATCCTGAAGGCAGATAGTCAGCCTCACCAAGACATGGCTGAACTTTTATCTGAGAGATACCTCTGCTGTCAGCGTTCCAAGTTAGGCTCTCTTTCAATGCTGACATGAATGAAATGAAACAGAGAGCAGAAGTGGTGATTTATTGCTGAGATGAACTTTTACCTAGTTTTCTGCATGCAACAGATAGTGTTACCTGGGTGATAGAGGGTGGGGGCAAATTCCTGTGAAAAGAATGTGCTGAGACGAAGAGATCGATCTGCACGATGCCCAATGGGATATTGGGGTTGGAGAGCGGAAGGGGAGGTTGTTGGAAGGAGGGGCCAGTTTGGCTGCAACCAGAGTTTAGGCATGTCGTGTTTTTTCTATTCTTAAATAAAAGAGTTTCATTAGAGACTTTGAGTTTGAGAATGAAGTTTATTTAAGATAGCACCAAAGCCTGACAGACAGCCAAACTCCCTCAAAGCCAGGCTGGCTGAGTTTAAATCATCCCGTTCCCTCCCAGACGTATGGTCGGACTGGAGGTTGTCCCCCGACGTTATGGCTGAAGCGAAGCTCTCGGAGGAAAGCCTGCTTCAAGCAACAAGTGAAGGAGAAGCGGTCGTGATCCCAGCCAGTTTGGAAAGTATGAAGACTCAACTCTCCCCGCCTTCTCCCTCGGCAAAACTTCAAACAAAGAAGCGTGAACCAGATAAGTACCCGGGGACTGTGCCAAAAGCCTCCGAGGCTGAATTTCCCTTTCCGAACGTAAAAGACAAGGGAAAACCCCTAAGTGAATTGGGCAGGGCATCCTGGCTATGGGAATGGGAACAAGCCAGAAAACAAACTAAGCGCCAAGAAATTCTAAGGAAGCCACTCGAAAGCCCCATAGATGAGTTGAAAGAGGAATTTGACCGTGCCACCCTTCAGGGGGAGGGGCCATCCTGCAGACCCAAAGAAAAGAGAGAACCAGTCTGGGCTGTTAACCCAAGAGGCCGTAGGCCAAGGCGCAGCCCTTCCCCCCTCCACAGCAGGAGAAGGAGGAGACCAACGACGCATCCATGGGTCCCCCCCCTCCCAGCAAGCAGCAAAACCTAGATGAGGCAGCACCTCCCTACCCCAGGATGAGAGACGCGGCAGAGGACTATCAACACCAAGGCCGGCCCTACAGAGCTCAGCACAGAGAGAAGAGGGCAGAGAGGGAGGAGCCACCCCAGTTCAGAGGGAAGTTCAATGGTGACCCAGACAACCTCGCCCAATTCCTCGATTCAGCTGAGATATACATAGAGCGTTTTGGACACCTCTACCCTTTCCCCAGAGCCCTAGTGAATGCTATTTCGGAAGGGCTGGAGGGAGAAGCAAAGAGGTGGTCAGCATCCCTCTATAAAAACAGGGCCCCCCAACTGCAAGATGCGGATGGGTTCTTGCAACTATTGAAAGCCCGTTATGAGGAGGAGGAGGAGGAGGATCCCTATGTGGAAGACGAGCTCAGAAACCTACTGCAGAAGGAGAAGCCCATCAGAGAGCATATCCATGAATTCAGGAGAGTCATTGGGACACTGCCTCCCCTACCAGAGCGATTGCTGGTGTATTTTTTTAGAACAAGCCTGGATAAGAGAATTTCCCAAGTGACTGCTTATCGTGACATCCCAAACCGACTCTCTGAATGGTTCCGGCTAGCGATAAAAGTCGACAGAGGGTTACGGGCGAGCGACCCATCGAAACCACCAGAGGGAAAGGAGAGAGGCCGACCACACCAGGGGCCACTCGACAGATGAGAAACCCCAACATCACAGCCCTCCCACAGACCAACTGCCCCACGGAGCCCACTGAAATGCTACCGATGTGGGGGGATTGGCCACATAGCAGCAAGATGTGGAACGCCTAGACCGGGATCAGCTCCACTGCCCAAAGCATGACCGGAACGAGGGCCCAAGCGCGCCACCCATGTACCGCGGGGAGCTCCCCAAATCCTGGAGTTTTTTGCTCACCTGACCGAAACCAGAGGAACCCCAGAGGAGGGAGATCAGTTCCCCGAACCCTATGACACCGAGGACGAAGGCGAAGACGAGCCGATGGTGAGTGGACCTGTCCATCCTTTTCTTTTCCCCATATGTCTGACAGCCCCCAAAACAGGGGTCCAAGAGACTTTCCAAGCCCTAATAGACTCTGGTAGCACACAGTGCCTAATCAACCTACCCACAGTCCTGAAATTGGGAATCCGAGCTAAACAACTCAAACAACCAATTCGTTTTGAGCAAGTTGATGGGTCCCTAGAGGGAGGAGCGTACGCCACACACTTGACTGAACCCGTGAGACTAGAACTGGCAGATCACTGGGAGACGATCCGCTTTATAATAGCCCCCAAGATGACAGAACCAGTCATATTGGGACTCTTGTGGCTGGACAAATGGGGCCCAATCATTTGGTGGCAAGAGGGGACCCTCAGACTGAGAATAGCAAAGGGGCCCCAACCCCTGCCGCCCCGACCAGAAAATTCCCTCCCACGCTGAGACCCCGAAGCAGCCCTCCACCACAAAACAAAACACCACCAATACAAGGGTCCCTCCCAGAAGGTACAGCAAAGCAATTGGCAGCTGTACCCACCACCGCCTGTAATGCAGATCAGATCCCAGGGGAATACCAAGACCTTGCAGAGGTATTCAGCGAGGCCGAGTGTGACATTCTGCCCCCCCCCACCGTGAGACCGATTGTGCCATCGAGATTATCCCAGAAGCTAAACTACCCAAACCTAAAATGTATGCCATGACGCCCCGAGAAATGCAGGAAATGCAGGACTACATAGACAAAAACTTACAAAGGGGATTTATTGAGCCAGTAAAACCAAGGGTAGCGGCGCCGGTCATGTTTAAAGAGAAAAAGGACGGCTCCATGAGACTGGTGGTCGACTTTCGAAGTATCAACGTACACAACTTGTACCCCCTCCCCCTCATGAAAGACATGCTAGCCCACCTAGCTAAAGGGAAGATTTTCACCAAACTAGACCTTCGAGAAGCTTATTACCGAGTACGCATAAAGGCAGGAGATGAATGGAAAACAGCATTCAACTGCCCCCTGGGTAGTTTCCAGTTTAAAGTAATGCCCTTTGGATTGCAAGGAGCCCCGGCAGTGTTCATGCAGTTAATAAATGAAGTCTTACATGAACACGTTTACAAAGGGGTCCTCATCTACCTGGATGATATTCTCATCTACACGGAGACCATAGATGAACATATACCCCTCGTCCGCCAAGTACTGAAAAAACTGCTAAGGGCAAACCTATATGTCAAACTGTCAAAATGCGATTTCCACCAATCACGGCTAGACCAACTGGGCTACCGAGTATCAAATGAGGGGATAGAGATGGACCCAGCCAAGGTCCAATCAGTTCTACAATGGCAGCCCCCTCGCACCCGCAGACAACTGCAAAGTTTTCTAGGCTTTGCGAACTTCTACAGACAATTCATCCCCGCGTTCGCGAAGATTGCCAAACCTTTGATGGACCTCCTAAAGACAGGAAGCCCAGCGGTGAAACCTCGCCCGGGACAACCCCTACAGTGGGACCTGACCTGCCAACAGGCATTCGAGACGCTGAAAGGGATGTTCGCAAAAGAACCCGTCTTAAAACACCCGGATCCGGAACAGCCTTTTGTCATCCAAGCAGACACAACTGATGTGGCAGTAGGAGCCATGTTACTCCCAAAGAACAACCAAGGTGATCTATAACCTTGCGCCTACACCTCCCGCAAACTCACCGATACAGAAAGGCGATGGGCGGCATGGGAGAAGGAAGCGTTCGCAGTAAGATGGGCCTTGTTGACCTGGCGGCACCTACTAGAGGGAGGCCAGAAGCCATTTGAAGTCTGGACTGATCATAAAAATCTAGAGGCCCTAAAAACCCCACAGAAACTGTCGCCCAGGCAAGTACGGTGGGCACAATACTTCAATCGTTTCAATTTCGAGCTTCAGCACATCCCAGGAGGGAGGAATTTCCTGGCTGACGCCCTCTTCCAGATGCCCCAATACAACAGTGAGCGGGAGCAGGTAGTGAATGCCATCATCCCCTCCACCCAAGCTGCGGCTCAAGTGATCACCAGACAGCAACAACGTGACCAACAAGGCCGACTTGCAAGTGACTTAACTGCAAAATTAAAAAATGAAACGCTGACAGACCCCTGGTATCGGGACAATCAACATCTCTTGACAAAAAGAGATGACCTAGCATGGAAGGGGACAAAGCTCTATGTCCCACAGACTTTACGCATCCTGATTCTCAAAAGGAGCCACGACGTTAAACCAGCGGGACACTTCGGGTTCCTAAAGACTCTGTACCTAGTACGAAGGCAGTTCTGGTGGCCCCACATGAGAAAGGACGTAGACAGTTATGTAAAAAGCTGCACCATTTGTGCCACGATGAAGACAAGACCAGGGTGCCCACCTGGACTGTTGCAACCAATAGCTGAGCCAACAAGACCATGGGAGGAGATTGCAATGGACTTTATAGTAGACCTACCGAGGAGCAGTGGAAATACAGTGATCTGGACTGTAATAGACTTATTCTCCAAACAGGCACACTTCATTCCTTGTAGTGGACTGCCTTCAGCCCGCCAGTTATCCAAACTGTTCCTGAAACACATCTACCACCTACATGGAGTCCCCAGGAGAATCATCTCTGACCGAGGGGTCCAGTTCACAGCAAAGTTCTGGAGGGAGTTTCTACGATCCATAGGGTCATCCCAAGGCCTCAGCTCAGCATTTCACCCAAGCACCAATGGGGGGGCAGAAAGACTGAACGCTATAATAGAACAGTATTTAAGATGCTACGTTGACTACCAGCAGTCCAATTGGGCAGATCTCCTATCTTTTGCAGAGGTTGCATATAATAATGCTGTCCACAGCAGCACGGGGCTAACCCCGTTCAAAGTAGTGAGTGACATGGATTTTGTCCCCATGCCAGAGTATCCGAGGGAGCCCCCTTCCTCAGTCAGTTTGACCGACTGGATGGCAATGTTGAGAGAAACTTGGGAGAATGTTAACAGGGCGCTGGCAAAGGCGGCTCAATCTTATAAGGAACAAGCAGACAAGCACCGAACTCCCCAAAGACCATTTCAGTTGGGAGAGAAAGTTTACCTTTCCACCAAGTACTTGAGACTTAGACTCCCGAGCAAGAAATTGGGCCCAAAATTTATAGGACCATTTCCTATAATAAAAATAATCAACCCCGTTACAGTGCAATTGCAGTTGCCACGGCTTTTGGGGAAAATTCACCCCGTTTTTCACAGTAGCCTTCTAAAACCTGTAGTGGGGTCTACTTTAAGGCCGACGCCACGTGAACCCCCTGGGCCCCTGATTGTTGGGGGCCAAACACACTACGAAGTGCAGCGAATTCTTGATTCAAGATGGCACAGGGGGCGCCTCCAGTACTTAATTAAATGGAAGGGCTACCTGTTGTCAGAGGCTTCCTGGGTGAAGAGCACAAACATCCAAGCTGACCGCCTTATAGCAAAATTCCATGTAGACCACCCGGGAAAGCTGGGAGGGGGGGTGCGCAGCCAAGGAGGGGCTAATGATACTTATCTTGTTGTGCTTTTCCCTATGGGGTAGGTTACGTCGCAGAAGTGAAGGGAGAGGGGCCGGATGTCAGCGTTCCAAGTTAGGCTCTCTTCCAACGCTGACATGAATGAAATGAAACAGAGAGCAGAAGCGGTGATTTATTGCTGAGGTGAACTTTTACCTAGTTTTCTGCATGCAACAGATAGTGTTACCTGGGTGATAGAGGGTGGGGGCAAATTCCTGTGAAAAGAATGTGCCAAGACGAAGAGATGGATCTACATGATGCCCAATGGGATATTGGGGTTGGAGAGCGGAAGGGGAGGTTGTTGGAAGGAGGGGCCAGTTTGGCTGCAACCAGAGTTTAGGCATGTCGTGTTTTTTCTATTCTTAAATAAAAGAGTTTCATTAGAGACTTTGAGTTTGAGAATGAAGTTTATTTAAGATAGCACCGAAGCCTGACATCTGACTTATAGTCTGGTTAAGGAATATTCAAGTCTTCCAAGAGGCCCTCCTTTGTCAGTGTTTCCCAACCTGAGTAACTTTGACATCTGTCATCTTCAACTTATAGAATTCTCTACCCATAGCCATGGCTAGAGAATTCTAGAGTTGAAACCTATGCATCTTAAAGTAGTCCAGATTTTTCTTTTTTCTTTTTTAAATAATTTTTTATTAAACAGTTTGTCATTAAAAACAAAGTAGTCCAGATTTTTCAAACACTCTTTTATCCTGCCGTCATCAACCAGAAAGTGTCTTTTTGTTCAGTTTTCAAGAGTGAGTGTCAAGGAGGTTACTTGCTTTATCTGTTGACTATTGTCTTTCAACAGAAGAGAATATATGTATTCTCTTCTGTATTGCAATGTTTTTCCTTTGCAGAGCTGGGGTGGGCATGGCCTATGCATGATGCCAGTTTGACACCCCTGTCCTAGGTCCTACCCTTGATTAGGGTATTGTGTTCCATTTTATTCTCTGGTGTTAATCCCTGTTTACTGTCTCTGGGTGTGTTGGCTGTTGGAGAGAATGTGGTTTAGGCTTTTTCCTTACTTTTTGTTATCTCTTGTGATGATGTATAATTGTGGTTTATCTCTTTGTGTCTGTTGATGACTGATTTTTCCGAGTGCTTAGCTTCCAAAAATTCTGTAGCATTTTTGGATTTAGCTTGGTTTAGGTTCATAGTTTCTCAGTTGAAACTATGGTTGGGTCTCTCCATATGTTGGTGTTTATGGATGTGCTCGGCTAACCTTCTGCCTATCTGTCCTACATAATACTGTCTGCTGAGGCTAAAAATGCTGTTACGTGATAATACCTTTATGCAAATCAGATGCAGAAGCACTAAGCAACAGCCTACCCATTTTATCTTTAAAGAAGCTAAGCAGCAATATATTTTTAATTCTCTATTGTGTTACCAGAGGTATATTCCTGTCTCTTTCTAAATATAACTTCCATCTTCTATCCCCATCCACCAGCCTATTTTTGCTCTATTCTATGCAGAAGTTGCTGCTATCTATTCTACATCCCAAGTCGGCCTTCACAGATGTCTAGAAGCCTTAATACATTTGTTTAGGAAAAAATAGAAATTGGTTTTGTAAAACAGAAGTCCCAACTTTCACCAAAAAGCATTTTAATTTTTTCCATAATTGAAATGTTAACAGTATATCTATTGAGCAAATACTGGGATTTACTTCCAAACATTGGCCTTCTGTAGCCATCAAATAAATGAACTTTTGACAAAAGGCACAATATTAATTAGATTTGCAAACCATAAAAGCAATACCTACATGTCTGCAGCAATTAACTGTTGAAGACCAAGATCTTAAGCCTCTGGCTGTATGGTACTCAATTCATTGTGTATAGAATTAGTTTATTTAAGAAATGATTCAATCCACCTTTTTTGAGAACATTTTTTTTATTTTCCTCAATCATCAGGAGATAGTCTTGAAACTGTATCTCCCAAGTTTTCATGCATTTTCTATTGGAAACCTATGGGTTCTCCAATTGTTAAATCTAGATATTTTGAGTAATTGGATTAAGGACCAAATAGAAACATCTGGGTTATGGGCTAAATTGGGAGGCTAAGAAAATTTAGCCAAAGCTAAATTTATAGCATATCTATATTGTTCTCAAGGAAACCTAATGGAACATTACCTATTCCCACCAATTTACTGAGGAAGTTATTTAATTTAAAAAAAGAGGTTAGCCTGATAAAAATTGTCCTGAAAAACTCCACGTGGATTTCTAGAATGTATTGGTTGACTGCTTCATGAGCTACAGATTAGTATTTCAGTTCCCAGCCTTGGCAGCTTAAAAGGGTAGGGGCTTCATTTCCAATAATTCCTGTTGCTGAGAATTTTGGGAGTTGAAGTCCACATATCTGAAAGTTAGATAGATAGAATGAATCCATGAGCTAACGTGGATGTACTTCAGGTTTTGCCTGGGGGGGCTTTATGTTCGTTTATTGGACTCACTGTTTGAGCAGCCTGGTATTTGTGTTATGAACTAATTAACCATTGCCTGGGGAAATAATCTGGACTTGTTTGTGGCTGGCTTCAGTTGGGATAGTTATAAAGCTGGGTGAAGAGAACTGCTGGGGGAAGACAAATAAAACCCTCTGTAAACCACACTAATGTGTGAGTGTGAGTAAGTAGGGCAGCACAACATGAAATTTAGCTCTGGTGCCTCCCATTGCTCTTGATCATTGGTGACATGTTTCTACACCTTGATTGTAGTTGACCTGTGGTAAATTAAATTGATTGGACATGATTTGGAAAGGCACACACCTCTGTATAAAAGGTCTCACAGCTGAAAATGCATACTGTAGCCAAGTAAAAGCCATGAGATCAAAGGAACTTCCTGCAGAGCTCAGGGATAGGATTATTGCAAGGCACTGATCTGGGGAAGGCTACAGTAAAATTCCTGCTGCAGTGAAGGTTCCTAAGAGCACAGTGGCCTCCATAATTCTCAACTGAAAGATGTTTGGCACAACCAGGACTCTTCCAAGAGTTGGTGGCCCGGTCAAACTGAGCAATCGAGCAGAAGGGCCATAATAAGAAAGATGACCAAGAACCCAATGGTCACTCTGACTGAGCTTCAGAGATCCTGTTTTGAGATGGAACAGATTTCCAGAAGGACAACCTCACTGCAGCCCTCCACCAATATGGGCTTTAGGGCAAAGTGGTTAGACAGAAGCCTCGCCTCAGGGCAAAACACATGAAATCCCACTTGGAGTTTGCAAAAAAGCATCTGAAGGACTCTAAAATTATGTGGAACAAGATTATCTGATCCAGGGGTGAAATTCAGCAGGTTCTGACAGGTTCTGGAGAACTGGTAGAGGGAATTTTGAGTAGTTCAGAGAACCATCACATATCACCTCTGGCTGGCCCCAGAGTGGGGTGGGAATGGAGATTTTTCAGTATCCTTCCCCTGCCATGGCCACCAAGCCACACTGACAGAACCAGTAATAAAAAAGTTTGGATTTCACCGATGGTCTGATCCAAAGAAACCAAGATTGAACTGTTTGGCTTCAATTCGAAACTTTATGTCTAGAGGAACCCAGGCACCTGCTCATCACCTGCCTAATACCATCCCAACAGTGGAGTATGTGATGGCAGCATCATCTGTGGGCTGTTTTTCAGCCACAGGAGAGAAGTCAGGATTGAGGAAAAACTGAATGGAGCAAAGTACAGAGATATCTTCAATGAAAACCTGTTCCACAGCACTCAGGACCTCAGACTGGGACAAAGGTTCACTTTCTAATGATCCTAAGCACACAGCCACGACAATGCAGGAGTGGCTTAGGAATACTCTGTGAATGTCCTAGAGTGGCCCAGCCAGAGCCCAGACTGGAACCTTATTGAATATCTCTAGAGGGATCTGAAAATGGCTGCCCACCGATTGTCACCATCCAACCTGACCAAGCTTGTGAGGATTTGCAAGGAAGGATGGCAGAAAATCCCCCAATCCAGGTTTGCAAAGCTTGTCGCATCATACTCAAAAAGACTCTAGGCCAGTAATGGCAAACCTTTTTGGCATTGTGTGCCAAAAGTCAGAGCGCACAAGCGCTGTTGCGCACCTGCATGCCAGCACCCATAATGCAATGCGTGCCCCATTTGTGCATGCGTGCAGGACACACACCCCATGCTCCCCCTGCGCATGTGCCCCGCACTGCACATGCGTGTCCCCGAACATGCCCCCCCACTTTTTCCAAGAGGGCTGGTGTTCCTCTTACTGGAGGACAACTAGGTACCAGCCTGTTCCGTGGCGAGACAGCCGTTCTCCAGCCACTGCATGGCGGGGCCAATAGCGCTACCGGGGAAGCTGTGAACGTGCGGCTTGCCTGGGCTCCTTTCCACTGGGAGCCACAGTTTCCTGGCTGATGGCCACTCTCTCGGCCCTGCCGGGGAAACTCTGAATGCACGGCTTGCCTAGGCTCCTCCCTACTGGGACCTGCAGGCTGAGCAGGTGCGGCTGGCAGGGCTTTGGCAGACCAGCAGCCAGTAAGCTCCGAATGCATGGCTTGCCTGAGCTCCTTCCCCCTGGGAGCCACCGTTCCCTGGCTTGGCGCAGCACACCCACCCGACCCCCACCACTGCACTGCCTGCAGTTGGGCCCGTCACCTGATCGCCATCACACCTGCTGCTGTGCCGCTAGCCGAGCCAATGCTGGGAAAGGAGCAGCAGGCGGGGCAGCCAGCCGTCCAGCCAGCAAATGCTGCCCCGTACACCTGAGTCAGCTAGTAGCTTTTGCCCTTCCCTCTGGAGCCTGTGGCTCCCATCAGAGAAGAGTCCAAGCAAGCCACATGTTCAGAGCTTCCCTGTTGGGGCCGAGAGCACTTCTACTGTACGCCGTCGTCCCTTCTCCGGGGAAGAAGCAAGCTGCCAGAGGAGCAGGGAGCTGGTTGGGCGGCCTCCTCCAACCCAGCTGGCCTGCTTGCCATGATGCTGGTGAAAGTGGCAGCTTGCTTTCCTGCCCCGAGCACAGAGCACAAACTTTCCCTGATGCTTCCCAAACTTCAGTGCGGGGCTGAGGCAGGCGGGAGGCAGAGAGGGAGGAGCAGGCAGCTGCTATGCCTCAGGGCTCTGGGGAAAAGCGGCCGAAAGCTCCATGTGGAGGCCGCCAATCATGAGCCCCGAGGGTGCCTGCTTCCAAGGGAACAGCTCGGCTACTTTGAAGTGAGCGGCCGGGAAGCTTCCTCACTGAGAGAGGGGCAGACGGATGCTGCGCTTGTAGGGAGGAGTGGCACCACACACCTCCCTTTCCCCCTGGCTGACTCTGATCCTGACCCAGCCTCTCCTCAGCCTCTTTCAGCTCTGGAGTTTGCTGCTCTCCACAGCTCAGCACTGTTTTCAATCAGCGAGTGAGGCAAGTCAGCTTATTGGGGGCAATAAGCTGACTTTGTATAAATATACAAAAGTATGAAGGCTATTGCTTAACACATTGTAAGCCGCCCTGAGTCTCCAGAGAAGGGCGGCATATAAATCAAATTAAAAAAAAAAAAAGAGCGCGCACAGCATCCATCTGCCTGTCTCTCAGCTTCCCAGCCGCTCACTTTGAAATAGCTGAGCCATTCCCTTGGAAGCAGGCACCCCCAGAGTTTGTGATTGGTGGCCTCCACATGGAGCTTTCGGCCGCCTTTCCAGGAAGCTTCCTAGCCAAGAGACAGGCAGACAGAGACATGAAATCCTGAAATCTTTTGAGACTAAACTAAAACTGATACTTGAAGAATCTGAATCTCTCTCTGTCTCCCTCCCCACTCCCATCCCATCCCCACCCCAACCCCACTCTCTCTTTTCCTTCTGAAAAATTGATTCGGCAAATAAGCACCCCGGTCCCGATCTCTCCTGAGAGATTTAAAATTCTTCTTAGTCTCAAAAGATGTCAGGGCATGGAAAAGGTGAAACTCTGGCTGCCCTTCTGCTCCTTCCCCGGCGTTGACTCAGAGACACACTTGCGAAACTCGTCTGGAGTCGAGAGGGGACTTCAAGACAGGGTCGCGATCATCGCCCTGCATTCTCCTCGGCTTGTAACAGATGGCTCGGATGGGGCGCAAGAAGGCGAAGCCAGTAGAAATGGCTTGTGAGCACAGTGGGTGTGGGTGTTTCCTTGGGACGTGGAGAAGCCAGTTGGGTTTGGATTGTGGGATGCTGAAAAGTTAACCCTCGACTCTCTGCAGATCCCCCCCTACCTACCCACCAGTGCCTGGATAGGGTTGCTGAAAGTAGAGGTTCCTGTTAAATTAACGTGCGTTCATGTCTGAAGGCTACTCATGAGAGATCAGGACCAGGTTGCTTATTTGCTGAATTGATTTTTCAGAAGGAAAAGAGAGAGGGGGGTGGAGGGGGTGAGGGAGGAAGAGAGAGAGATTCAGATTCTTCAGGTATCAGTTTTAGTTTAGTCTTAAAAGATTTCAGGACAAAGAAAAGGAGAAACTCTGGCCACCCTTCTGCTCCTTCCCCGGTGTTGTGAGGGTCGGGCGGGGGTGCCGCGCCACCTGCAGTTGGGCCCCTCGCCCGACCTCCACGTCTGCCACTGTGCCACCAGCTGAGCCAACGATCTCTTTTGAGTAGCCTTCAGACATGAACTGAACCTGCACTGCAGCCGCTTACTGCACTGTCCTCTGGTCCTCCTGGGAGCAGTTCGCTTCTCCTTCGCCTGGCTGCAAGGGGTGAGGGGGCACACCTGAACCCAAAAGAGAAAAAGGAGCAGAGCTGCCGGCTAGGCCGGGGCTTCCTTGTCTCCCCGCCCAAGTGGCCCCAAGCCTCTGGCGGGGAGGAAGGGAAGCCCCAAGCTGCTATTCCTGCTGCCGCCGAGGAAGTGGCACTGAGGGAACCCCCATTACCAGGGGCGACTGGGTGGCGGTGGCAAGGATGGGCAGGCCGGGGCTTCCCTTCCTCCCTGTGGCAGCCCTTGTGGATCCCAGGCAGTGCAGCTTTGGGGCCTTTCCTTGCAGTGTCGATGACAAGGTAGGCAGGCGAGCGGGTGCAGGGGAGTGACTGGGGGAGTGCTCCTGGCTGGCAAGGGAGTGGGTGTCCTGGGGCACGAGCTGCACCAGCCAACTAGTCTTTTGTTTACTGGCACGCATGTGTGTGCGACAATCAGATGGCCGGCTGATCTTTCTCTTTCTGGCATTGCCGCACATGTGAAGGTCAGCTGATCGTCATGCGTACATGCGCACCAGTAACCAGAAGACTAGCTGGCCAATATGCATGTGTGTGCCAGAAACCCAGAAGAGGAATGGGCAATGCCTTGCATGCCTGGTGAAATGGCTCTGTGTGCCACTTCTGGCATGTGTTCCATAGGTTCGCCATCATGGCTCTAGGCTGTAATTGCTGCCAAAGATGCTTCAACAAAGTACTGAATCAAGGGTCTGAATACTTACGCCAATATGATATTTCAATTTTTTCTTTTTAATAAATTTACAGATATTTCTAAAATTCTGTTTTCACTTTGTCACTATAGGGTACTAACTAATGAGGAAAAAATGAATTTCAACAACTGTAGAATCAGGCTGCACAATAACAAAATTGACAAAAGTGAAGTGTATCTGAATACTTTCTGAATACTGTAGATAGATAAATACCAAAACTGATCCTAAAGTGATGAAATAAAAATACAATTTTGAATAATTATCAACAACTTCAAACACAGAAACTCACCTCTTTAGCTGAATCTGGGATCAATTCTGTCCCGTTCCTAAATTCCCCATTATTTGCAAAAACAGGAATGTTGGGACTAAAAATCATAAGGTCACTCTTGGCACCAGCCTCTGCACTCACACCTGCCAGGATGTGGCTGTGGCGATTGGAATAGGACCAGCTGCCCACTTCGCTGGCACACACCAGGGTGGCCATGCCAGGGCCATAAACCATGGATTCCTTTGCCTTGCAGTGGCATCGCAGGGCCACATAAATGAGAGTGGCTAGCAAGAAGAGACTGGAAACAGAGCAGATGGCAATGATCAGATAGACATTGATCGAGTCCACCAGGGGCACAAAGTTCTTCCCTGATCTTTGAACATTAATATCCATTTTGGTTGTCTGACCACTTGTCACAAGTGACACACTCAGGGTAGCTGTGGTTGAGAGTTGAGGTTTTCCATGGTCCTTCACAAGAACCAACAGACTCTGGATTCTGCTGCCTTCTGATTCATCCAAAGAATATTTGGTACTCACCTCACCGCTATACAGCCCTACAGTCCATGAAGCATTGTTTTCTTCAACCAGTTCATACCTTAGCCATGCATTGTATCCAGAATCTGCATCCAAGGCATGGATCTTGCCTACAATATGCCCAGGCATCACAGGGACCACTAGAAGAATCAGATTCTCTTCTGATAATCCTGACACAACAGGTGCATTGTCATTCTCGTCCATCACAAAGACTTGAACAGTCACATTGCCACACAAGGAGGGCATTCCAGCATCCTTGGCTCTCACCTGGAACTCCAGCAGTTTCAACTCCTCAAAGTCCAAGGACTGCAAAGCATAAAGTTTTCCACTCTCTGAATGTACAGAGATGTAGCTTGACAACGGCCAGAGCTTCTCATCTATCCAATAGGTGATCAGAGCATTCTCAGCAACATCTGGGTCCAAGGCAGATATTGTGAAGATATGAGCACCAGGGGGATTGTTCTCCTTCACAAAGACTGTGTAGGAAGGTTGAGTGAAAGCTGGAACATTATCATTTATGTCACTAATAGGCACTACGAGGGTGATCCTAGACGACAGTGGTGAAACACCTTGATCTTCCACTGTCACAACCATCCTGTACTCAGCCACCTGCTCCCTATCCAAAGGTGCTCCAACAATTAGGGAGTAGTAGTTCTTGAATGTGGACTCTATTTTGAAAGGCATGTCAGAGGGCTGTAGGACACATGTTACTTGCCCATTGATTCCAGAATCCTTGTCTGAAGTACTGAGGATAGCTACCACAGTTCCTGGAGTGGAATCCTCTGGCAATGGTACAGAGAGAGAATTCACAAATACTTCTGGAATATTATCATTCATGTCCAATACATCAACAAAAACTTCGCAATGTCCTGATAATGGAGAACTGCCTTTATCTTCTGCAACAATTTGAAGCTCATAGCAATTAATATCTTCATAGTCCAATTTTCCAATCACTCTGATTTCCCCAATATCAGAATTTATACTAAAGAGCTTTGTGACATGTAAAGGTACTTCATTACTAAAAAAATAAGAGATTTCCCTATTAATCCCTTCATCTAAGTCTGTTGCATTCAGAGTAATGACTAATGACCCACTAGTAGTATTTTCTAGCAACTTTACCCTGTAAACAGATTGGTTAAACACAGGAGGGTTGTCATTGACATCCAGCACATTGATGACTAGCTGAATAGTTCCTGTGAGTTTTGATTCACCCCCATCAGTGGCTGTCAGAACTAAATGATGCACAGGGCTCTCCTCTCTGTCAAGTGGAACCTTCAAAAGAAGTACTACAGATTTACTCTCATCTTCATCATTTCCTAAATCAAGAGCAAAATGGTTGCTTGGGCTGAGCTTGTATGTTAACAGAGCATTAGTACCAATATCTGAATCAGATGCTCTCTCTAACGGGAATCGGGTACCAGATGCTGTTGTCAATTCTGCTATGCTCAGGATCTGTTCCCTGGCTGAGAAGATGGGAGCATTGTCATTCATGTCTTTGATTTCAACCTCCACATGGAAGAACCTCAGAGGTTTCTCCACAATCACCTCCAGATGAAGGACACAGTCTGCATTCTTGGCACACAGCTCCTCCCTGTCTATCCGGGAATTTACAAACAAGATCCCATTCTGCAGGTTTACCTCAAAATAGTCCTTCTCTCCTTTGGACAGCATCCGGAACATCCGAGGCACCAGCTCGCTCACCTCCAACCCCAGATCCTGGGCGATGCGGCCCACAAAGGTGCCGTGCTGGGATTCCTCCAGCACAGAATAATGGAGCTGGCCACTCCCCATTTTCCAGGCAGTGTGGAGCAGAAGCAGCTGTAGCAGCCCCTTCGGCCAGGTAAGCATTGCAGACACTGGCACAACAACAGCAAGCTCTTCTCTTTTTCTCTAAATATCTTGTCTCAAAGGTGTCAGGAGCAGAGACCACCTACCCCAGCCATACCGGCAATGCGTTCATAGGTTGAATCTTGGCTTGTTGAGCTTTCTCTGTTGTTCGAGATTTTCCTTGTGGATCTGGCTGGCAGGAATGTCTGTCCCTTTGAGGGAGGGGCTCTGTATTTTCAGTTTCATTTAGAGAGTTTCCTTAGGAAACAGCGACCTCTTGTGATCAAAATTCAGAATGAGAAACAGACTTCCATTCTTCATTGAGCCTCTGTGATATTCTTTCCTTAAGGCTTCAAGGGCTTGCTTGAAGCCTTCATGTGTCTCTGATGTGTAGTTTTACTTCTTTTGGTCTTTAACTATTATATTAATTTAGATCTTATATTGATCCCTTGGTGCTTCCATGGAAATGCATTATAATGGAATGGATATTTGTCTGGTTCTCTGGCCATCTTTCCCATTGCTCCCAATAGGTGAGCACCAGACAGATGGGGGGACGTTGAAGTAATCGCAAACCATTTGAATCAGACTTTTGGCCAAATCACAAACATTGGAACATTAATTCCAATGAAACTCATAATGATATTCCGATGCTATGAAAGCAGAAGTTCTTTTCTAGTTTTATTTCTGAATTTGGCTGGATATGCAACTCCTGAACTTTTTAGGCAAATGACAAGCAGGTCAAGTTCTCAAAACTCATGTGATGTCTTAACTGGTTTATTCCAGAAATAGATAACATGTTGCAATTAATCTAACCCATGTATTTCTTATGACCCCTATTTAATTTCGTACTAAATCTTTTTACAAGGAAAAGATACTGAAATTCAAACATTTAATCTTTTATTTAATTTCAAGTGATTTAATGAGTTTGTCGCTAAATCACCTCACATTAAAAAATTTCATTTTTTTTCTTTTATACACACACACCTACAGACACACTGAACATCTAAGCATCATAAAGGAGTTTGTACCTTAACTTTTCATAGCTCAGAAGAAAACAGTAGCAAATTTATAGCTGGCTGACAAACCGTACTCAATGATACTTATTTTGTATCGCTTTTTTACTTTCATAGATTTTTTATCACTTTTTTCCACAACTTATTTTCAGATGTTTAACATGTACTCTTCTGTACTAACTCTTTTGAGAAGGAAAAGATACTGGAATTCAAACATTTAGTCTTTTTTATTTCACTTCAAGTGATTTAATGAGTCTGTCATTAAATAACCTCATTAAATAAAAAAAAATTCATTGGGTTTTTTTTTTGTTTTTGTTTATACACACACACATACAGAGATGTTGAACATCTAACCACAATAAGGAATTTGTACCTTTCCTTTTCATAGCTCAGAAGAAAATAGTAGCAAATCTATTAACCTCATTAGGCTGGGGGGGGGAATTCATGAAGTCAGAACCCATTGCACTATTTTCTCCCTCCTGGGACCAAGAAAACAAGGTTTCTTCTGTATGATATTCCTTCAGCTTCTTTAAGGATGCTATTAAATGCACCCTCAATCAAGTCTTCTTATCTCAAGGTTGAACACATTTTTCAATTTCTCTTTTCTTTCCACACCCATAATCCTTACTGCTGTTATTAGCACTCTTTTGAATTTATCATAAACTATATTGCCCAACATTGAATATAGTGCTTGAGAGGGCTTTAAATGTAATGCAATTATTACTTCCTATAATTTAGAAAATATATTTATTTTGATGAAGAATAAACCTTCGTTTCCTTTTTGGGAGGAAGATACCTGGCATTGAAACAACTGTGTGGTAGTATACTACATGTGAAAAGTATGCCAAAAGTCAGTGTTGGTAATTATGTTAACATTCAACAATCAGTTTCAAGGCCACAAACAGCTACACAAAGAATTTGTTAATTCATGAGAAGGGGGAAGCTAAGCATCTGAATCACTGCAGATAGAAGACCAACTTACATTATAGGCAGTCAGCTGTTTCATATGGCTTAATTATTACCTGCAATGAAGTTTCTTACCTGGCTGAACCAGGTCTGTGACATTTCTGTGGGATCCTAACCACAAAAATACTTTTTGGGGGGGTTAAGTTACTGCCTTTATCTTGTTTAAATTAGCAGTTTATAGTAATAGACAATGATATTAAGAAAAAAGAAAAAGAAAAAACATCCCACTCATCCAAAGTGAAACATCTTGTTTGAGTTGAAGAACTATAGAAACATGATTTTTCTTCCTGTCTCACAACTGAAGATGGCAGAAAAATTAACACAGAACGGAAGTTGCACAGAGTTGCTTATCTCTTTAAAAACTATTTCTCATTATTTACGATCTTTTAAACGGACAGAATTCATGCAGATAAAAACTGCAGCAAATGAAGAGGGAAAAAATAACTCAACTTGAAATTTCTGACAGACAGTGCAGCCTCATTGAACAAATGTTGAACATAAATAAAAATGTTCAAGATGAAGTGACCACTTATAGTTAATTTCACAGAAATAATTTATGATTTTAAAATATTCTTTATAACATTGAGCAACAGTCTACAATTATTTTTATTGAGAAATGTAAATGTATACTGTATGTGTTTTCAGTACAGCTAGTATACAGGTTGGAAATTGAAACTACTTATGATGTTGGCCTTTCTATCTATTCAGTACAGAAATCTATTTGGAGGACATATTTAAGTTCTACAAGATCATATCTTTCATTTATCTTACCTAGCAGGATGGTTTAAATTGTTCTTCCACATCTGCCACCAGAAATGGTTCGGAAATGCTAGCTATTTAACAAAACATATTTGGTAACAAAATGCAAGGTGTTTAAATATATTTTCTATTGATTTTTTTTCTTTATTCTTAGATACTTAAGTGAAGAAGTTAGGATTTCAGATATCACTAACTACAGAAAAATTTATTTGTCTCACGTTCAAAGGAATAAAGAAGTAGCAGTTTCAATTATTTTTTAAAGGGGATATATTTCAACTTGATTTGCAAGTAAGGAGGGAAATCCTGTACTGTACTATTTTTTCCAAACTGTTCAATTACATAAAAGTTCTTTTCCTCCTTTTTTACCTAAGCCTATGAAAATATTTTTTTCTATGCTCATTAATGTTATCAATACATGTTTTCTAAACTGAGCAATTTAAATTTTTTAAAAAAACAACAGGGAACTAATGTTTTTCTTCATGCGAAAGAACTTTCATCTAAAAGATGGGTTGGTCAACTATATAATAGAGGGATTTCAAAATCCATCAGTGGCATAATAGATTCACAGTTTGTGGTAGAACAAGAAATAAGAGATCCGAGAGGAAGCAATGATTTAATGATCAGATTTTCTTCATAATGTATGGTACTTGGAACATAACAAATTGAGTCACTGGTTGCATTTGCAGACCACTAGAGGTTGCTGGGGAAGCAAAGAGTTGCTCACCATGAGCTGTAGAGAACTGGGATTTCATCCAGTGGTTCAAACTAGCAGCCTGAGAAATTAGTTGTTGGTTGTATTTGCATATTACTTTCATAATGTATGTTACTTGGAGCACAACAAATCAAGTCACTGGTTGCATTTACAGGAATCATTGTTCCATTTGCTCACCACAAGCTGCAGAGAACTGGGACCTTGTGCAGCAGATCAAGCTAGTGAATCTTACAACTAAAAACCTAAAATAGGAAATATACAAGAGAATATGTATTTACATCTGCACAAATCCTGAAGAGTGACCAATTCATGGAGAAAGAAACTAGCACCATGGTGACCTGCAAGATGTATGCTATGTTTGTATTCCTGCCTGTGGAGGATTATACCTCAAATTATACCTGCACCCAAGTATAAAATGATAGGATTGCTAAAAGAGAAAGTGTATGGTCTAGAGGCACATCTAGCCACTTGCCTCAGCCATGAAAATGAGGAATCCAAAAGTCTGTATTTAAACTAAACACAGCAAGGAAGAAACAACAACAAGGAAAAATAAAGCCTAGAGGAGGCCTGATGGCAGCATGTCACTCAAGAGGACCAAAAATCCAAGAAGAGTATCAACTCTAGGATCAACCATAAAAGGGTCAATGCCTATATACCAATGCTCATACAATAGGGAACAAACAGGGAGAGCTTGAAATCCTAGTATGTGAGGGCAAATATGAAATTGTAGCTATTGCTGAAACTTGGTGGGATACAACCCATGATTGGAATACACAATTAGAAGTATATAAATTGCTCAAAAGAAACAGGCCTAACAAAAGAAGTGGGGCGGGGGAAGGGGGGGAGGATCAAAAAGTGACTTTGCTATAGATGTGTACTAGAGGCCAGCCAACCAACCAGAGGAAATAGATGGACACTTCTGTCTCAGCTAATCAGTTAGCTGAAGTATGCAAGAAACACACCACTATATTAATGGGGGATTTTAACTACCCTGACATTAACTGGGAAAGAAACTCTCCAGGGAGTGGGAGATTAAACAGTTTCTGGGTGTGCCTAGCTGACAAATTTGTCATAAAAAGATAGAAGAGGGAACTAAACAGACAATTATACTGGACTTAATTTTTACTAATAGGGACCATATAGTTGAGGAAGTGGAAGTAATATTTAATTTAATTTAATTTAATTAATTAAATTTATATGCCGCCCCTCTCCGAAGACTCAGGGCGGCTCACAATACATTTTAAAAAATCATTATAAAAAAACATTTAAAAATTAAAAACATTAAAAACTCATTCATGCCATTCATGGCCGGATCTCGCCAGATCACAAGAGCGAGATCAACGACCCCAGGCCTGCCGGAAAAGCCAGATCTTCACCGCTTTTCGGAAGGCCAATAGGGTGGGGATAGTCCGGACCTCAGGAGGTAACTGGTTCCAGAGAGCTGGGGCAGCCACAGAGAAGGCCCTCCCCCACGGGCCTGCCAGCCGGCATTGTTTAGCTGATGGGACCCAGAGGAGACCAACTCTGTGAGATCTTACCGGTCGCTGGGAGCTATGTGGCAGAAGGCGGTCTCGAAGATAACCTGGCCCTGAGCCATGTAGGGCTTTAAAGGTAATAACCAACACCTTGAATTGTGATCGGAGACCAATAGGGAGCCAGTGCACCTCACGGAGAATTGGTGTAATGTGGGTGTATCTAGGTGTACCCACGACAGCTCCCGCAGCTGCGTTCTGGACCAACTGTAGTCTCCAAACACTTTTCAAGGGTAGCCCCATGTAGAGCGTGTTACAATAATCTAACCATGAGGTGACAAGGGCATGAGTGACTGTGAGGAGAGCCTCCCGATCCAAGTAGGGTCGCAATTGGTGCACCAGGCGAACCTGTGCAAAGGTCCCCCTAGCCACAGCTGTCAGATGTTGCTCTAATCTTAGCTGTGAGTCTAGGAGGACACCCAAATTGCGAGCCCGTTCTGAGTGGG